ACGAGATTCCAAAGATTTCCATTTGCTGTGTGGGAATAGACGAGGCAAAAATTGGAAAAAGAAAATACAATCGTGGCTGACTTGTAAAAGGTCATTGAATTTTTGGAGAATACGAACGAGACACAAAGAAGATTTTTATTTGTTCAGTCAAGGATGAATCACGCACAGAAGAAATACTCCTGGCGTTTATAAAAAAATGGATACTGCCAGGAACCATCATCGTGTCAGATTGTTGGAAGTCTTATAATTGTTTAGGCAATGATGAAAGTTTCCAACAGTTTCTGACAGTAAACCATTCTTTTAATTTTGTCGATCCTGAAACTGGTAAGAAATGTTTAAAATTTAATAGATATTAATAATCGCAAGTTCGAATTTAATCATTATTATATTTTTAATGTATCACTGCTATATTAATATATTTTTTAAATTTACAGGTGCACATACCTAGCATATAGAGCACGTTTAGAGAGAGGATCGCGGAAATATTCCAAGATACGGAACCAGGGAGAAACACGTTCTTGGATATTTGGCCGAATTTCTTTTTAAACGCGCCTATAAATGACTGAAACGAATTGAAATCTTCTTTCGTGTTATTGTGGAAATATATCCTCCTATATCCAATGACCAGCCAACAACATGCGAACCAAGTACAAGTACTGCATAGAGATACTTTTAGTTTTCTACATCGATACAATAATGTTAACATGCTGGATTTTACGTTTGTGCAACGTCTATATATATATATGTGTATATATATATATATATATATATATATATATATATATATATATATATATATTATTTTTGTTACTTTATATTATATGATATATTTTTAAATTATATTTTTATTATTAATGTATTACTTTGTTTGATTTTATGTGTATACAATTTCCTTTTCCTTAGATTGCAAAACAAGATTTATATTTACAGAATTCTACATTTGCAACTTTGCATGCAAAAACACGCACACACGGGGAGAGGGGAGGATGTAAGGGGGAGCCTTCGGCCCCATCCCGTCCCTCTCGCTTCGCGTGGAAAATTGCAAAGTGGAATCTCGCTTCGCGTAGAAAGTTGCACCCTACTGTAGGCACCCTTACCGGCGAGGTGCAGGAGGGTATAACTTTCCACGCGAAGCGAGATTCCATTTTGCAACTTTCCACGCGAAGCGAGGGGAACGGGGTGGGTGCGGGAGGGGAGCCGAAGCTCCCCTTGCACCTCCCCCGTGTGTGTGTGTGTGAGTGCTAGTGTCGTCGATATGACAGATATCCTAATCTAAATAGTGAACTTTAATCGTGAATATTTCGCGGTGCAGAGCGACGCTTTTTTTTGATAGATTTTTTAATTTTATGCAAAAACGCATCGATTGACCTTAAATTTATTGATATTTGAGGTGAGGTAGCTAAATTACCAAATCCTTTAAATTAAATTTCTAAGACCGGGTCTACAATGAGTCGTAAGTCGTAAGTCGTAGGCAAATTGACCAATCGTGGTTGATTATTTTTGAAATAATCGACTATGATTGGTCAATTTGTCTACGACTTACGACTCATTGTAGACCCGGCCTAAAGCCGGATCGTATCGTAACGTCGCAAGTCGTAAATTGTAGGCAAATTGACCAACCATAGTCCAGTATTTCAAAAATAATCGATTATGATTGGTCAATTTGCCTACAATTTACGACTTGTGACGTTATGATACAACCAATGTAGATCCGGCTTAAAACGTTTATTTAAAAATTTATTAATCGTTTGTAAAAAAACATCTATTAATATTTTTTATTAAGTGTTTCTTATTAAATAATGACTATCTCGATAATCTATACGATTAACCGATAATGACTATCTCGATAATCTATACTATTTTACAGGCATTAAGAATTCGAAGAGAGAATATCGGCATTAAGAATTCTCCCATACAGCACAGAATATTGCAACAATATTATTAATATTGTTATAATAATGCAACAACATTGTAATATTGCCGCAATATTCTGTGCTGTATAGGCTTTAATATATGCAGTAAATGGACTATTTCTCTTATCTATCTAATTTCAAATAATCTGTTTAATATTCTGAACTCTAATAAGTGATTATTGAGCAGATTATTAAACAAGTGAGCAGATTATTAAACAAATTATTTTAAATTAAGTCAGTTTATTATAAACCCATATAGCACACAAAGATTACATACACATTGCAGCAATCTTTCACCGCAATATTGCAATGTTGCACATTCACTGCAAAATGTTGCTGCACCATTGTTGTGGAATTGCAGCAACGTTAAAATGTCCGCTTTTAGGAATTGTAAGATAATAATTTGCGTGGAGTTCCACTGACGAATCCGTCGTTTGAGATTCACGGAAAAGGTACTCCGAAATCGTCTCGAAATGACGTATTAGTATCGAGCCTGCGCAAATTGATAGCCGTCGGCGTGTTAAGCTGTGATTGGAAACGGTGCGATATCTCGATACCGCTAAGGGCAATAAAACCCAGGCACTCGAAGAATAGGGACAGAGTCTCTCACTCAGCGCTCAGGAAGAGTTACAAATAATCATTGCATATTTCTGTATGAAGAATTTAATAAAATCTTACAGAATATTGTTATGTAAGATTGTAGCAATGTTACGGTGCAACGTATTTGTAATATTCCCATACAGCACAGAACATTGCAGCAATATTGCAGCAACATTGCTGGGACATTGTAGCAATATTGTAATATTGCTGCAATATTGGTGCAACGTTCTGTGCTGTATGGATTAAAACGCGTTTTGCTACAAATGCAGACGCCGTTTTAAATTTAATAAATAAACTTTGAAAATATAAAAAAATGTTTAAGAAAGATAGGAAAAAATGCCTTTAAAAAAACATCTATTAGTGTTTTTTTAAAGGCATTTTTAGCATTAGATGTTTCTTAAATATTAATCTCAATAATATACATACAATTATTTTATATACATTCGACACCAGAATATTTTAATACGCAAATGAACTATTTCCTATTTACTCATTCAATTGAAAAAAATCTGTTTAATATTCTGAAACCTAATGAGGGATCCAGATTATTAAAAATTATTTGTTTAATAATCTAGATCCTTCATTAGAATTCAGAATATTAAATAAACCAAGTCAGTTTATTAGAAATTAAACACAAGACAAGAAATATAGTTACTACATTAGTCCTTTGTAGACCTTATATCCACTTTAGATGAATTCGAATACGAGTTAGTTAAGTTTGATGTCGCCGCGTAGCAGCAAGTAAAGAAACACTTGTTATACATTTTCGCTATGTTAAAACGGTGCTGCAACATTGCCAAAGTAATATTACAAAATAATGTCTCTGTATTATTTTTGCAACATTACACTGCAGTGAGCAATATTGCAATATTGCAGCAATGTTGATGCAAGCTTCTGTGCTGTATGGGAATTATGATAAAAGAAAAGATATTAGTTTATAACTAATACTTTAGAACTAAAATATATTAAAATATCAGGCTTTTGTAAGCTTTATATTCATGATTAAAAATTAAACGAGTTATTAAATCTATAGATTTATAAATATTTATAAACTATAGTTTAGTCGCGTAGCGGAAAATGTAAAAACACGTATACAACATTATAATATTATATTGCAATAACATTCTGTTCCATTACTGTTATAATTTTGTAAAATAATACATATTCCAGTCAGCAAAGTCTGTTCAAACAGATTTTGTCAATTTCTGCTACAAATTTTCGTCGACAGTATGATTGCAGATTGTATAAAAAATTATTGTATAAAAATTTTCCTGACATTCTGTTATCATTATTTGTTATATCAAATAATGATAACACAATGTCAGCAGAAATGTTACAAAACTTGCTGACATAATTTGATAGCAGAAACTGAACAGGATTTGTTTAAAATTATCATAGCATATTGGTGGCAGAAATTGAACGAGATCTGTGCGACGCAATTTGACAACAGATTGTCGGCAGAAATCGAGCAGGATCTGCGCACACAATCTCTGATAGCAGATTGATGGCAGAAACGGAACAGGGTTTGCATGATTCGATAGTTTCTTCACTTACCGCTACGTGAGCTGTACTTTCTCGTAATTGAATTTCTGTTAGAAATATATATATAAAATCGCGAATATGAATAAAAGACTAAAAATATAGTAATTATCATTTTAATTTCTATCATTTTAATTTCTGATATCTGATACAACCAAATGAGAGTCAGAATATTAAACTAATTGGAATCAATATAATAAATGGAAAATTATTCATGTACTACTGCCCATTTGAGGCATAAAGCAAGAATTTAATTCTAAATAAATTACATCTCAAGTTTTACAAGTTACATTTACTTTTATCATTTACTTTATTATTAATTTAATTAAATTGAATTAATCCTTCACTATATGAGATATAACTACGATATAACATATTACATATATGTCATTTTCTAAGAAAATTCTAATTACTTGTCGATAATATTGTTATTTAGCCTGTAATAATCAATTTTGTTGCATTTATATAACATTAGTAAACGTAAGCGCAAATCTTGTGAAGTTTCTGCTGTCAATTTGCCATAAGGTTGCATGCGCAGATTCTGTTCGGTTTCTGCTGACAATCTAACATCAAATTGCACGCGCAAATCCTACTCGATTTCTGCTGTCAATCTGCTGTCGGTTTATGCTGACAGATTCTGCTAGTAGGACCCAAGCTTAATGCGGACGCAGTTGATGCCAATCTGCCGCAATATTCTGTTTGAATCTGCTCGCATGCTGCTGGCAGACTGCTAACATTTTGCTTACTGGGTATTTATATAATATATGCAACTTGCATTATATTATTTGTTACTTCACACTATATTAATGCAACAAGCAGTGTTTACTTGAATTACTTATAATATTCCATTTTATTGGTTTTATATGATATTAATAGTGTTTATTAGGATTAGACATTTTATATATAATTATATTATATTAATAAAAAAAGAAAAATAAAATTTTATAGATGTCTGAAGGTCGCGATAGATATAAAGATCTGATCGAAGAATTACATTCGACTTTAGAACAGCAGGATGAACAAAAAGATCAGAAAAAAATACGTATGATTGAGTTACAAAACGATCAATTAATACAAGAAAATCGTTTATATGAGATTCTCAATTCTTTGGAAGGAAAAACAATTTATGGAACATTAGATTTTCTTAGCAAAGTAAGTTTTATAATTTTCATATTAAAATAATTTGTTCGCACTCTTTCATCATTTTCAGGAACTAATGAGATTAGAGGACGAGCGTAGAGCTCATGCTTTTGTTTTACTTGCCGAAAGAGAAAGATGTATGAGGGAAGCTGCTGAAGCTGGTAAACGGCAATTAGAACGTAATCGACGACGAGAATTCGACGAAATGTTCAAACAAATCGTAAAAGTAAATCAGGACTCGATAGAAGCTTACTTGGAAGACATTATAAGAGAGAGTGTTAATTGGATATCTGATAAAACAGCTAACGAACAAGTCTTACATCTTTACGATAAAGATAATATATCAAAACATACCTTGGAAAAACAAGATTGGTAACCAATAGATATAAGCAAGTTTACATATCATTAAAAAGCAACATATGTATATATAAAAGGCGACCATTTTCATAGCATGGATAAGTTGGCAGAAAAGAAGTTGATAATGGATATGATCTATAATTTTGTCTTACTTGAAGTGGAAAAGCATAATACGAAAAGAAACATTTACGATCGACAACAGAATTATATGCGAAATGCATATATATCAATTTACGAGAAAATTTTAAATTTGCTATCTATTAAATCATTGCAAGTTATAGAGCAAAAAGTTTGTATAAAAAAATAAAACTAATATAAATAATTTTATTTGACTGAAATTGATGATTTACTTATATTGCATTATTTTTTGTATAAAAGTATTTATTTGTTTTTCTAGGAACAAGACATTGAAGTAGAAGAAATGGAATTTCTTTCATAAAACCAAAGCAAAAAAAAAACAGATTTAAAAGCACATTAACAAATTGACTTTTTGGCAAAAAATTATTTTAAATCACATATCTTTAATAATTAAAATTAATAATAATTATAATAATGTAATGTAGGAAGTAAGGAAATTATATACATATTTTATTAAATTTTAGTATAATAAATATGATAAAATCTGTTTATATATGCAAATTTAGAAAATTTTGTATTTGATATCGCAAATATAAATATGTTAATTTCAAATTGATTAATGTAAAATATTTTGGTTATATAATAGCTCTTTAAAATCTATTCTATCTATCTTTTTTCTATTTCCAAGTTAATCTTACAATGATAACTTATAGCGGATATATATTTTTCTTTTTAAGCAAATAATTTATAAATTACTTTATACATATATTTGAAAAACAAATTGAAAGAAAAATATTTTTTTTTATTCTAGATATACCTATAAAATCGTGTATCATGAGTTACGCATTATATAAATCAATAAAAAATGCCAAGTTAAATTGTATATGATTAATGTTTAATATGAATTACAGTCTTTTTTTATATATTAATAATATAACTATATACATAACATTACATAGAAACAAAATTAATACTATAATAAAATTAATTATATACATATTAAAAGAGCATATATTGATAAAATAAAATTAACATTTTGCAATGATTAAAATATTATCCCTTTAAAATAATATTGTATGGGTTGGTTCAATTTCTTCATAAAAATTAAAACTCCAACATTAAATATTAAGATGTACTTTTAATTAATAATGTATATTACTTTTTTGGACAATGTCAAACATCTTTTAGATAGCTTCATTATTCCATTAGTATAGAACTAGCATAGAATTGAATTAGCTTTTCATTAAAGAAATTTTTAAGATAAATTTTGACTTTAAAGGTTGGTATTATTTACCATTCAAACTATTTCAAAGCAAATGATGTAGTAATCTGAAAATGCAATATCAAAAATATTGCGAGTGAAATAAAATATCCTAATCAAATTCCCAATCAATAAGTTTCTAATATTGCGTAAAGAATTTTAATCTTTGAAGACAGTGAAGTCAGAATTTTCCTTGATAATTTCTTTAATGAAAAACCGATTCAATTATATACATACTAATAGAATAATAAAGTCTCAAAAGATGCCCCGACATTGTCCAAAAAAGTGATACGAACATTATTGAAAATTTAAAATTACATCTTAATACTTAATTTTTGTGCGAGTTACAATTTAATATTTAATTTTTAATTTCTGTCAATAAAACTGAATGAATTGTTTGATCAACTCATAATATTATTTTAAGGAAATGTACATTATTATATCATTGTATGTAATGTATAATTTATTGTCCTTGCTCTCTAGTTCCTTGTGATAAATGCATAATAAAATAATATTTTCCTTGATATCAATCAATAAGATAATTTTTTTCTTATAATATTCTATTAGAATTATATCGCGCGTATATAGAAATCTTACAGTAAAACATTATGAATTTGGCTGGATACATTAGTTTTGTACAATATATTAATCCTATAATAAAACAAAAAGTAATTTAATTGAACAGAGTCATTTTTTGTTTAAACTTATAATCGATTTACAAATAGCAAATAAATGGATGAAATAGATTTAGATATTTTTATCTCTGACTGCTATCTATTTTGTTATAACAATTGAAAAATGTTTTATACAAAGAATATAATAACATAATAATTCTGCGAAAATTGTCATATTAGAATATTAATATAGAAAAGCCAAATTAGCGCGAACACGATGGACCGACGAGGTATTTATCTAATGCACTTTTCGCAAGTAATTCCGACATAAATTTTTTAAACTTCATATCTTGTGCATCACTCGATGATTTTCTTTCTACTATTAATTTGCGTTTCTTGGCATGTAATTCATTCGTCTGTTGAAGTGTTTCAACATCAGCATTGATAATATCAATATGTGCTTTTCGTTTACGATTTTCTAATGAGTCAGGGTTTTGAGTTTCTTCTCGTGCTCGACTTAGTTCAGTAGTTAAATCGACCATTTTCTGCTCCCATTCCTCAAGATGTTTCCGCATCTCAGCTAACTGCATGTCTTGATCGTGTATCTTTTTTACTTGTTTCTGCAATTTCAAGTTTTGCATTCGTATCTGATGATCTTGCCTTTGCATTCTGAGCTTTATTCTACCCATTTGATTTTTTACAGACGAGAAGAATATCTTGTTCTTTTTTATACGATCGTTAATTTTTTTAAAAGTCTGATTAAGTTTTTCTGAGCAGTTTGAACTATAATTATTACAATGTGGCAGTGCAGAGTTATTTCTACTAGGAGAGATCATGACTCCACCAGGTATATCATATGAATTCACAGTTCCAATCATAGATGTGCAAATATTATGCTTTAAATCTGGCAAAATCTTTTCATCAAAATGTTCCATGGCCATACTGCTTATATCTCGCAACTCTTGAAGTATCTCGTGTGCTCTGGGTGGTGTCTTTGTTTCTCGAATTAATCGAAGGACACGAAAAATCTCATCAATTACCTGATTACAATATACTTATTTAACAATGATAAGTATAAATAAGATGCATGCAAAATTTATAGAACTAAATTTTTTTTTAATTATACAACATTATAAATATATACAGAGTGTCCCATTTTAAATAATACACTTAAATATCCCCGAAACATAAATAAATGTTACATAAAAAAATGTTTCAAACAAAAGTTGTATGACCTGAAGAAAACCATCAGATGATGACAATGATTTGATCTTGGAGAATCATTTGAAGGTTACGTGAAGGTTATCATCAATTTCTTAAATGGAACCCCCTATTTTTTATTACATATTCTTGTAGATTAGCTCGAGAGCTTTCCAAAACATTATAATAAAATATTTTTCCCTCAAGCACTTTTTGAGTTATAAGGCTTGAAATCATTTCTTAATTTTACATAAACCATAAAATATCTTGTAAAATATTCATTTTTCGATTATCTTATCCTTAATACTTTTATGTACAAAATAATGAGAGGAATCAATTGATGTAAAGAAAACACATATAATATGTAATTGTTAATTGCAAATTACATTTTTTTTTTAAAACAACTATGTTTTTTCTTTACATCAGTTGATTTTTCTCATTATTTTGTACATAAAAGTATTAAAGTAAGATAATCAAAAAATGAATATTTTACTAGATATTTTGTGATTTATGTAAAATTAAGAAATTATTTCAAGCCTCATAACTCGAAAAGTACTCAATAAGGAAATACTTTATTATATTGTTTTGGAAAGCTCTCGGGATAAGCTACAAGAATAAGTAATAAAAAATAGGGGTTCCCATTTAAAAAATTGAAGATGACCTTCACGTGACCTTCAAACGACTTTTGAAGATCAAACCAATGGCTCCCTTCAAGCCATACAACTTTTATCTGAGGCATTTTCCACTATCAACTCTACCTGAGGAGATATTCACGTGGACGGATTAAAATGGTTCATCCTGTGTGTGTGTGTGTGTGTATTTTTTTATAAAAGTGAATATGTAAATTAATAAAATAACTCTTTAAAAATGTAATTATATTTTTAAAGAATTATTATATTATAAATTTTAATTTTAAAGTACACTGCATCGACTTCTTTTCATGAAAAAAAAAAGGATTTGAAAAATAGAATCATCCCTCTTGACATGTAATTTGTTCTATGTTAAAAAAGTTACTAAACATTAAAGATGACACTTTCAAGATGTTTAAGAAATTTGTCATATTGACAAATATTAACAATTATAAGCTTCTATATAAAAATGATGCAAGAGCAATTATTCAACCAAATATCATTACAAATTATTGATATATTACCTTATTTTTATATATTTTCATATTTGATATACATATATATGCAGGGTGTCCCAAAACTCATAATCAATCTTTTAAAGACAGATTCCTGGGATCATTTGGAGACGATTTTTCCTCAACGAAAATGTCGATGAAAGCCATCATTTTTTGCATGTTCCCAATTTTTGTCACCATATATCTTTGCAATTAAGCCTTAAATTAAAACTTAACTAAAATAAACTCTATTTAAAATTAATAGAAGAATGTGGTTTTGTTAATATTTAATTTTTACAAAGCTTAGTTTACGAAAAACCCCTTATTTCCAATCACTTATAATTCGAAAATTAGTGCCTCGACATTTTCGTTGAGGAAAAATCGTCTTCAGATGATCCCAGGAATCTGTCTTTGAAAGATTGATTATGAGTTTTGGGACACCCTGTGTGTATATATATATATATATATATATATATATATATATATATATATGCGGAAAAAATCAGAATTTTTTCTATCTTGCATATTTTCGGAGTTATTCAGGGATTCCTTTTTTGTTCATCCTATATGTCACTGTTTTATTTTTAATTTAAATTGTTTATTATCAATCATTATCATCTATCAAAAGATACAGTATATCAAATTCTCTCAAATTAGATTACATTGCCCTTGTATCAATTTTTATTATATGAACTTTATATGTGGTGATAATCTACTATAATGTATAGATATGTGTTAAGTTATAAAGAATGTAAGAATGTACTGCAAAGAAAAGTATACAATACTAGAATGAAAATAGGCACTTTAACATGATTTCTTTTTTACTGCTTTATTTAAAAATAAAAATATATATATACACACACACTGTGTATATATATATATATGGGACATTGCTTCGCATAGAAGGCTGCATATCTCTCTCTCTCTCTCTTTCTCTCTCTCTCTCTCTCTCTCTCTCTCTCTCTCTCTATATATATATATATATATATATATATATATATATATATATGAGAGAGAGAGAGAGAGAGATATGCAGCCTTCTATGCGAAGCAATGTCCAAATTTAACAAGATCTAATATTGTGCAGTTTTATATTTTTAGCTTCGTAACTTTTCACACAAAGCAAAATTCCCTTTGATCCAGTGTTTTCAGTGTGACAAAGTCCATACTATTCTATAATTCCACATGTTCATAACTTTCAGCATAATGCGAAATTCAAATATATGTATATAAA